CTGTAGCTGCTGTCTGGTTATGCCAGACTTCCTCCCTGGATATTTTAACCTTCTTTAGAATGGCCAATTGAATCCCTCGACTGGGATGAGGTTCCCATCCCTCAGCAGCCCAGTGAGGAAGTGATGAGCTATCCCTCAGCAGTACTCACAGACTTTGCAAGGAAGTGGTATTTTTCTTTTGCAATGCTTCCTCCAGCAGTCTGGATCAGTGCATTAAAGGACAACTGCTATGACCCTAGCAGCACGCCCAAAGAGGTTTGTGAAATCATAAGAACCAGAAAGTTTTGTGGAAGAGAGTGAACAAACATCCGTTGGGAGCTCTTGAGGTCACAGTGATCCTCTCTTGAGGGTGATCACTGAAGACCCATTGTCATACAGACAATGCTTTCTCGAGTGCCATTTATGTTCCACTTTTTGAAATTCCCTGACACTTGTATAAAAATACAGTCAAAAAAGACCAGGATAACACTGAAAGCAGTAAAGCCTAAGGTGTTAGACAGCAACTGAATCTATACAACCATTCTCCTGTGGAGTCAAAAAAACTGTCCAACCTTGAACCAGCCTCTACTCCTGGGGGACGAAGTGCAAGGGTCATGGGTATGGACTATCTTCTGCTAATAGATTGCTAAAATCATCTAGTGTTTGTATTCTGAGGGCATCTTTCTGCTGAAATTATGAAATTGGATGTAAAATTGACTTTATGCTGTACCACTAGATGGCAAACTGGCAGTGTGATACACTCCAGTCTGCCTATCGCAGACATCTGATTAAACATTATTGCAAAGAACACAGGTCATCTGTATGCAAATTAACAGAGGCTTGATGATATAGAATGAAGAATACTTCAACTTACATGTTATTAATGATGTTTTAAGTCTGGACAACATGGATCTTGTTGGAATCATTAAAGATTTCTAGGGCAAAGTGTTCACCTGGCCTTTCCTTTCCCTTTTTGTGTCCCAAAGCTGGGACTAAGCACAGCTGAGCGTCAGACAACACTGTAATGTCTTCATCTGGAAATAAATCTGGAACAAGACTATCACAAAGCCCTAGGAGAGGGGCTGCTCCTCCAGACTGAGGCCTGTGGAAGTTCTTCAGGAGTGCAGTCAGACTCTTTCCCGTGTATACATTTTGCAGAGGCACTAAGATCTTCTAGAAGTCAGCACTTAATCAGAGTAAAATTTAATTATTTATGTAACATTATGAATGTACAAACATTTATTTCAAATCTAACATACCCAGGAGCAGCTGAAAGGAAAGAAGCATTATTTAACATTTCATTTCCTCTTCACCATACACCAGCCAACATTTGTGATCAAAGCTACTGGAGAATCATATAAATTGGCCTTTTGATCCCTTCAAAGAATTTTTTACAATAAATCCAAGAAGATGTCATCTCTGTACCTCTGGCTATGTAACTGGAGGGGTAGTTGCCCCACTTGCCTTTGGGGTCAGGAAGAGCTATGGGAACAAGCATGACAGCGTTTGCAAGTTTCTGCCATTGAAATTGCTGCTGCTGCTCTGTCTGCCTTCCTACGGAAGTTTGCAGGGGCAGAGCAAAGTTTTTAAAGTACATTAAAGAGAGGGGAAAGGCACTAAAAAATCTCCCAAGAGCTCCCAGTCTTTCCCCCAATGTTAATATGAAGTCACCTAAGGCTGTAATTACTAATGGTTGGTTTTCCAGCTCAGAAAATCTATTAAGTTACAGAATAAGCACTGAAAATGCAAAATGCTCTGTAATGCTACTAAGATATATGGGAAATTAGTGAGACAATGTGCCCACTCCAGCCAAAATGCAACCATGTAGTGACTCAAGGACCAAATGGAAGTGTATGCTGGGAGAGATGTGAAACACTTGACTTGCTTGGACATATTTAGTCCCTTGCATTTGTTTTATATAAGAAGATGATTATGGAATCACGTATTTCCTTGAACACAAGTGAGGATCTGCAAACTATGGATAAAAAGTTTTGCTTTCCTGTGCACCAGAGTCAAAACCCAGAGAGCACTCCCCTTGTCATAGCTCCCAGCCTGTTTTTTCCATAGCCATCAGACCCAAACACTTCCTGAGCTCCCTCAGGGCCATAGCTACTAACAAATCCTTTTTGGGTTCTTGTCTGATGCCAGTTGGCAGAAACAGCAGTTAATCCCCAATTTTTATTCTTATTACAAACTCCTGCACTAACCCCAGTGCCCATGTGTCTCAGCATCAGTCCAGGCTTTTGTACAGTGCTGTTTTTAGGGACTAATTTCCTTGATTTTAGCTGTCATCAAACAGACAGGGAATCAAGACGTCCTTTTGCAGAGTTTGAGCAGGGTTTGTCTCAGGCAAGAATCCTACCCCCAGTGTTCACAAATCGTGCAATGGCTCTTTTCATAACAGCAAATTAAAATGTACTGTATTATCGTTGCTGTTGATAAAATTATTATTAGTTATGAAAGTACTTACTTCTATTTTAATTTTATTCACATCTGGAAGATCCAGGGAAAAACAACAGATATTTGCACAAGTTTTTGGGTCCATGACTTTGTGTTTTGATCTGTAGAAGTATTTGGAGTGCAAGAAAACTGCTTAGAAGTCACAGCAGTTGCTTGTAATGCATTTTTTAAGATTAGCCTGTGTATTTAGGTCTTAAATCATTGAGACTAAGTCTCACACTGTAGAAAAAAATGTTTTTATCATGTCCTCTACTGTGTAGAATAAGTACCTAAAGTGTTGAATTCACCAGGTGCCGAAGGGTGTTCTGGGCAGTTCCACTGCCTATTTTACCTAAGCTTGAGTTCTGGAAGGGGAAGGCTGGGAACACTGGGGGGAACTTGTGATATGGCACAATGGTCAGAGTTTGGAGAAACAGCACCACAGTTCACCTGTGCCTCCAGCCAGCAGAAGCAGTTGTTCCAGTAATCTTTGCCCTCTCCGCTTTGCACCTGTTCTCAGTCCCCTGTTTTGCTCCCGTCCCTTTCTTTTCAGTAACCGAAGCACCTTAGGGTCTGCAGCCTCCTGTTAGTCACCTCTGAGGCAATAAAATCACTGTTTAATGCATTTTTGAGAGACCACTGGAGCTGACTCAAGTTGTCACATACACACAAATAGCAGGCTGCATTAAACAAGCTTCAGCTACAGTTCTGAAAGCAATGTGATTATAACAGCTTTAAAAGACAGGACAGTCTGTAATTAGCAGAGGGCTTTTCCTGGTAATTACATTAACCTTTAGTTGAATGTTACTCAACCTACCACAATGTTAGTTTTATGGTCTCCTACCAAAGTATGCCTCTGTAGGATTGTGAATCTGTCTCGGTCAATGGAAAATTCCACATCTTTGTATATATCCTACAATTCCTATTGCTTTGGTCGAGTGCCACGTTGCACTGTGCCTGTAACGTTTTACAAACAATGACCTCACTGCCTGGAGGCAACCCAGCTCTGATAGTAGCATTTTCAGCCATTCTTTCCTTGTGCAATGAATGAAGAATGAAAAATACGGCTATTCACGGAAGCAGCTTTGTCTGATAGTAATGACCTGGGTACTAATGTAACAGTTTGTCACAGGATATGTTCTGTATATTGTTATTTCCCATGGTGTTTGTTTGCCTCTGTGTTTTGCAAGTACAGAACTGCATAAAGTATTCAATAGAACTCTAGATGTTCAAAGAAAACAGGGGCCATGTCTATAGCAGAAAACAACTAAGCTGGATAAATATGCAAACATTCCTCATAAAAACCCAATTAAGAGATTATCTGCAGAAATACACAGAAGTTCATGAGAGGTGGTCTGGCACTACAGATTCTTCCTTTGCTCATTTAATCTGATTAAGTTCATTCCATATAACTGTAGTCTATGGTTCAGTAAAATACCATTGTAACTTAGCTTAGTACAGGTACTAGTTAAAATTTCATGAGTGCATTTATGAAAACAGAATACTTCTATCTCAGAATAATCTGAATGATCAAAGTATTAAAAATTATTTTTATTAAAAATAGAATTAGAAGAGATAAACCTTTGTATATTTTTGCCTGGTTTTCTTTCAGAATTAGTAAAATTATAATCCTGATGCAGATCTGAGTAAGAGGATTATCAACTGAAATACTCCTGTAAGCTACTGAGAGTAGAAGCAATCCGTGGTGATTCAGATCACCAAGCTTTGGGGACATTCTCTGATTTATCTAGGCCTCTGTTGCCTACCAGAAAAATGGGCATATATCTTCCTTTCCCTCAGCCTATTTTTGTGTTCAGACCATAATATTCTTGGGACAGCAAGTTAGTTAGCTGTAGACGTCTGGGTGAGGTTCTTGGCATAACTTCCATGTGCCAGCATAACCCTGTGGTAGCTTTGTCAAAATAAAAAGGGGGATTCTCCATAATGTTCATATCAACATCATTCTGTCACTGTTTTGTCTTTTTTTTTTTTATAAATGCACACATTTTGGAAGTCTCTCATTCTAGGTGTGTAATGTTCCTTCTTGAAGCCCAGGTGGCCCATTCCCGGCACTCAGAGCTGAATATAGAGGTTCAAATGCTGAGAGGGAATGGAAAGACGGGCAGTTGCATACCAAATTGGGGATTCCTCTGAAAACTAGGGTACGGGGACTATGAAAACTGATGAACCTGGTCACATACCTACTTCATTTCTCAGCACAACCAAAGGATTTCTGTCACACAGCCACTTAGTTCATGAATAAAAATACCACTTTTATTAATGGATTCCAGTAGTGATAGTATTCCTTCTCTACTAACTTGTTTCTCCACTAGTTTGTTCTTTGGCATTCCATCTACTTTTTCTTCAACTGAACGGATACTTAAATTAAGTGTCCCTCTTTTATTAATATTCTTTATCTTTTTTTTAACCTGTAATTTGAAATCTTCCTGGATGCCTTCAAAATTGATTATAAATAATTCCTATTTTCTCCATCCAGTGCTTAACATCTTTCAAAGTGACAGAAATATGGTAATCAAAGGTGTACTATCCCTACCTCCCATAGCATGGTAGGCTGAAGAAAACATGATAATTTATGAGTGGAAGTTATGTCACCTAATAACAGATCCTGAAGTCAATTTCTAAATTCATGTTTACTGGGAAGAATTGGACACTTCTGGAGGATAACTCAATTCTGCTGTACTAGATGAATTGTGTCCCAGAAATACTTACTCAGCTTTTAATGACCATAAAAGAAGTCTGGATGAGTAGTTTACAGTCATCTTCATCGTGGACGTCCAGAACTGACTAACATGAATTCCATGTTGAATATTCTGAGTTCCAGAAATTTCAGGAACCTACCTACTCTTGGAATGTAGGAAGAGCTATAATGCAATACAAAAATCTCAGGTTATTCAGCAGCTTTTGCAAATATTTTTCTTATTGACAGGTCACAAACTCATAGTATTCTGCTTCAAACTTCTGGTGAGCTCAACACTTAAAAGCTGCAGTCACACACCTTGAGACGAATAGGAACCCCTCCTACTGCCTTACTGTCTGAGACAATAAAGGCCATTCTGTGCTACTATGACTACATGGTACAGGAGTAGAAAACTCTGGGGAGTGCCCATGCTGTGGTATACCCGGTCATGGGATGACACCTTCCTCCTGGAGAACTTCTTATATCCTACCTTTCCACAAACTGACTGTTTCTACACCAGCCTGGTTATGTAGACAGGTGTTCTCTGAGTTTTACTTCCAGAGAAAACACCTTCCAGAGGCAACAGAAAGAAGTAGAATTCTACAGACACCAAGTCAGGATGTCCAAAAAACAGTCTCTTCTAGGGCCCTAACTTGGTCTTTCCCAGACTCTGGATGGAGGGTGAGGAGATTAGCTCCCTGAGGCTGAAGGTGGTATCTCATCTCTGTGGAAAAATGTCCTTGAAACAGGAGTAGTCTGTGTTCGATTTATTAGTATTTGTGTCATCCAAACCAGAGTCCCAGAACTCTGTAGCTTTCATCTCAGCTGCTGTCTAGGGCAAAAGAAAAAGATTGAGCTGTCATCAACAGCTGTGAGTAGAACCAGAATGAGCAGTAACTTGTAACCTAAATATTCCATCACTGGAGAAATGGTCTTCATATGGTGAACCTTTGCTTACATTTGCTGAAGTCGGAACCATTTTAGAAGGGTTTTGATGAATGCTATGTCTTTCCCACGAGTGTATTTAATCAGATCTTTTTTCAAAGTTAAAATACCTCAAATTAGCTGAAGGTTAGCTCAGGTAGATAGATAAAGCACTTTAATTTCGCACAAATGCTTTCTCATGAGAAATAATTTGAAAACACAACACTTAGATTAAAATCTGGAATTTCCAAAGCAGATGCAAATTAATCTGTGGTGCTGCTAATTACCTATTTAATGTTCTTTCAGAATTTGATAGAAAAGTTTATATGTAGTTTCTATCTTTATATGAAAATGAGAAATCTTCACCCACAGCAACAGCACAGAAAGCCACCAGAAGACCAGATGTTTGCAAAGTTTCTGTGAAATACCACAGGATATGCACTGTTAGATCAACAACAGTTGCAAGGCTGGAGACATGATGTTGTCATATCCCTCATTTCCCATTTCTACAAAAGCTTTCTTGTGACTGTAAAGGGCATCAGACTTCATGGTTTGTATATAACACCATGCATAAATAACAGCGTAGCTAGAAAAGGGCATCCATGGGATCAATTTGGGCCTGACAGAGCAACAGGAGATTATTTCAGATAGATTTGCCTGATAACAATAAATCTTCACATAAGTCCGTACGAGGTCTCTTGTCTTTCCCTTCATCCTTTCTAGAAGTAGGAAAATATTATGTTCTAACCCCTAACACTTCCTGGAGTAAATAGAGTTCTAACACAAATGCCTATTTTCATTTTGTTCTCAAATTTGATTTTTTTTTTAACTTCAAAATAGCATGGAAGGTTCCCTAGAGCACCATAGAATCACCTAGTTTTTACATGTAAAAAAACCATTTTAGTCAGTTCATCACTCAGGAAATTTACATCATGATCATAAAGTCAAATAATTTTTTCACTTAACAGTCGTAGGGATACAAACTTCATCTCCAATGATATGTTTTACTTCTGGTCAAAAAGATTTAAAACTTTTTTCTATAGATCCTAGTTGTTCAAGCCATGTCAGGGAGCACTACGATTTTACGGCTTTGTTAAAAATCCAGTATCACTCCTGCCTCTGGTTAATTTTCAAAACCTAATCACCATCTGCTATGACAACAAAGGACACAGTAAAACTATTCTTTTAATTTTTGCTGAACCTTCTAAGAGATTAACATTAGGAGGTAAATTATTTTATAGTCCCAGAATACTGAACTTGGCTGCTAAAATAGAAATTGATCATGAGAAGTCTTACTATTTATGGAAAGAAACATTATTTGATTGTCAGTAGATTTTTAAACACAGATATCCTCTTTAAGACATCATACAACCATCATATTCTTGTGGAGGCTCTCCAGCTTTTTGTTTGGTGCAACATTGCCCATGTAAAAACACTTGTTACCCTTTAAACAAGAGTTTACTCAGACAGGTTTGTCATATCCTTGTTCCATTCCAAGGTCTCAGCCCTCAGCTTGGTCTTGCAGCACATTTCTGTTTCAGTGCAAAGATTGCTCGACTGCCTTGCAGCACAGATGAGCCAAACCAGAACTGTCTGTGTCTGCTCACAGCCGTGTTGCTGTAGTCTCATATGTAGCAGGGCTTCCAATGAGAATTTCATGTGGAAAATACATTTATCAAAAACTATTTGTAAAAAGCAAAAGTTGAGTGATTTAGGATCTAACTTGGCATTCTTATTAGTTTGATGTTTACTAAAAAATAGGGATTCCATTTTGGTGGGCATAGTTAAGTGTTTAATGTTAGTCTCTTTTTCAGTGGAACAAATTTTTAGCAAAGGCAAGACTTACTACTGAAAATGTTAGTGAAAAAAGATTACTAATTTTTAATATATTTTTTGAAGATTTTTTCACAGGCCTAAGAAGGAAAATAAAAATATAATAAAATCATAATGATGGTGATTTCATAAAAGGAACAGTCAAAATCCAGAAATCATATTAAAAACTGAGTAGGGATCAACTTCAAAGGTCCTTAGATACTACTGACTAAGAAATTAGTTAAAACAGTAGTTTTCATGTCTTGTACTGAAACTTATTTACTGCAAAGCCCTTGCTCAAAAACACCAAAGCTCTCACAGTTTTGTCCACTTTTGCTCCCAGTCACATTTTTATGTGTGTGGTCATATTTGATACACCATATAGCAGGTATTGCACAAATCCTGGTGGACGACAGAAGTAGGAAGAAATTGTTGGGACCTTGGAGGGAGCAGAGAAAGGAACATGGCCATGGGAAGAAGGTCTGTGTAGACTCCCAGTGTTGGGAACACCACCAGCACAGCAGTCAAGTTGTAGGTGCCCACAAAGCACATGCTAAATGGAGCCTTATCTCTCCGTTGTACCACAAACAATATTCTCCCCTTTATCTGTATTTTCATCTCCATGGTAGGACTCATGCAGCTCTTTTACAAAGAAAATCCTTGGATAGGATTCAGATTCAAGCTGCTTTTTTTTTTTTTTTTTTTTTTACCTCCAGACAAAGCCTTTTTAGAAGTGTGCAGACATTACAGAAGACTCCTTTGTACTATGTAATTAGGCAGCATCTGCACTTCAGGCAGACTATGAGAATGTAACTCTCTAGCACCCAAAAATGAGATTAGGATGCTACCATCACCTTAGGGTAATCAGACCACAATTATACTCTAGGTCTTGAATGTATATGTCAGCTGAATTAGATAAATAGTTTTAGATAAATAAACAATTGGGCATATATCTGCTGAGTAAGTTGTACAGTCCAAAGTTAAACAAGGTAAACAGAGATTAGCCATTTGTAGTTTGGATAATCCAAAGTTTGCATGCTTTAATTGCCTACTACTAAATGTATAGTGTGAAACTGAGTTCAGTCCACCATATGTCATTGCATTCATGGTATGGGACTTGATACAGAATGGACTAGTAGCATCTGCATTGAATTTGATCTTGCTGGATTTTCTCATTTAAGATGGAACCTCTTAGAAACCTGAGGGTAAGAAGCAGTACAGAAAGGCTTAAATGCATCAATATAACAACGATGTGCCCCAGCAGTAGGCCCTTTCTCTGACCATGCAGCCACCTGCTACATGTTATTGTGACAGCAACAGCAAAGGAAAATATCAGAAGAGCTTCAAAACTACCTTTGTGTCTGTATTCTCAGCATGTGCCATTAGCCTGATAATCAATGTATCAGTAAATTGTATCACTCGGCAAATAAAGCTTTTGAAGCATTACAGAGAGTGGGGTGGTGGTGGTTCAGATAGAAAACCATATATGCTGTGTCATGCTATCACATGAAAGACAGCAGTCTGTTGCCTTTTTGTTTTATTTTTACAAACCAACAGGTTTTTTAATGGCTTTGCACAAACTAGGTTATTCACATGTTTCTGAGAATATTCTTGTTCTTTTCCAAGTCATTTGATAATTAAATACCATAGGAATGTCTTAGAAGTATTGAACTCAAAAGCCATGGAAAAATTAGAAAGGGGAACAGTTTCTTTAACCAAGTTTTCACTTCCTGTAAATTCCTTTGCTATAATTTTAGCAATTTAAATTAAAAGAGATTCAGCAATTTTATTTTAAAAAACAATTCCTTTATTGTCAAAATGCCTCATTCAGCTCTTCCAGCTAGGTGATAGGCTATATCTTCATTTTTTAAAGCCACAAGGAACAGCTGTATATACAAAAAATATCATCTTACCTTTGATAAATGACAAGTTTCCCAGGAAATTATCCAGTCATGGAGGTAACAATAAATGTGGAATTCCCTACTTCTTGTGGCAGATCTATCCCAATAGTGCACAACAATATAAATGTGTCTCTGGTATTGAAGGTTCTTACTGGATACAGGAAACAACTTTTCCCTACCAGATCAGAAATGGAGCAAGTTCCCTAGGGAAGCTGGGCTTTCCATCCGTTCAGATTTTATGACCTGACTGGATAAAACTCTGACCAACCTGGTCTGGGATCAAAGGTGTTGCTGCTTTCAGTAGGAGGTTGGACTGGTGACTTCTGAGCACTCTTCCATTCTGAATTATCCTGTGATCCTATGACACTATAATCCCAACATTAATTTCCCTGTCTCCAGTTTACAGGCACTGGTCTTAATTAGGCCTTTGTCATTTACTAGGCTTACCTATGCTGAATTACATCTCACTGGAGTACTCACCCCCTGACCACCAAGGATTTTCTCACTCCCGGCTCTACAGCAGGAGATCTCCAGGCTCCCAAGCTGCCTGTTTGTGAACTTTGGAAAAGTTCTCACCTGCATCACAAAACAGACCAGAGCCACAGACCTTCTTCACTCCCTGCCAAGCAGACCAGCACAAATAAATTTTTCTTAAAAAGCACACCACAATTTTAAGGCTGCCCTATGCCTGGCTGCAGCCAGGCAAAAAAATGCAAAAAATATTTGATGATACTGTTTAATTATTAAGGATACATATATATTAATTCAGATACAGGATTAAGAATAAGGGATTCTTCAAGACATGATGGGCAATCATGCTAATGCCTGACTTGCTTTCATATTAAAATAGAAATGGTGAGTAAGTTTTGAAATTAGGATGGTGGAATTGTGTATCACGTGGAATGAAATTATATATTTTTTAGATCCTTTTTTAAAAAATGCCACAGAATTTAAAATAAGGGATTTCTTTCAATTAAGAAGCTAGGAAAAAATCATAGTAGAAAAAGTGGGAAAATATGAGAAAAGTTAATATGTTCTCTTTTATCTGTAACAGACATTCTTTAATGTTTTGGAGACAGCAGTTAGGCTAAGTACATTGAATTTAGTGTTTCATGAGATTTTGGGGAAGTTAGGAAGTCTGGAAAGAGATAAGTAAGTCTAGACAAAATATCCCTCTTTAATGTGGTTATCCTTGCCACCTTTTAAGGATGTGACCTGCAGTGACCAAGCTCTGTAATGATTTCAGCGTGATACAGAGCATCATTTGAATGAAAGAACTCAATTGTTTGAACTTTGGGCTGTATAATAGTCCTTTTCATAGTGAAAGTGTGTTTAATGCATTGAAATTAGTTTGAAGAGAGAAATTGTCTCTGTTCTCTTTTTTTTTTTCTATTCATTTTAGACCTGGAGACTCTCCTATAGTATTCAGGAAACCCCACTCAGAAAATGGGAAAAAAGTCTGATCACATTTAAATTACATCCTGTAGTCAATGCATTGCACTACTTTGATAACTACAGTGTTAATATCTGCATTTACTGCTAGGAGTTTGGTAAAGCATTCCATGGAGCTATTACAAGGTTCAGATTTTCAGTGTAAAGTTTTACCTTTCAGTCATGGAGAAGCAAGAAGTAGAGCTGCTATACATTACCCAGGATGAGATCAGAGTGCTGTAGAAAGAGGAAGTTGCTATATCTTTGCCAGAAGATATGGAACAAAATCTGATCAGTAAAACTCTAGGTTAAGTAAATATGAAAGAGAATTTATTTGTCTACTCCTTCCCAGTCCATTTCAGTGGTGTCATCCATCATTTCAAAAGAAGCACCACCATTATTTTGGAAATCTTCTGACTCCTCCATGGGATTTTAGGCTCAAGATCACATTCCCAGTTAACAACACAGTTAGGTCTTCTTAAAAGTCGTGTAGATCTCCTAGATCAGAATGACAAATCTTCCTGTTCTTCACTTGTAGCTTTACCATATGAACTGAAAAAAGACTTGAGGGAGAAGGGTTGGAATAAGGCTATCATATGGGGACATGGTTCTGCTCTTAGTTTTTCATCATCTCTTTAAAGTCTTTGCAGGATACAGCAGAAAACCAGGATTTCATACAGAAAATGCTGATTCAAACCAGACAGAAAACACACCCCTTTTTGTTACCATGGGTACACTTGAAGAGCTTTTGCTTCCTTTAGTGTTACAATACCACACCACTGACACGATAATGCAAAGAGCAAAAGATTATAGAAGAAAGAGTAGCTACTGTGGGCATGCCATCAAGACATGAAGCCCTACCACCCCGACCCCCTAAAATCCCCAAACAACACCAGCACCAATAGTTTGTCCCTTAATGGTAAACTTAAAAGGTCGCCATTAAAAACAGGAAAATAATCTTCAATATGTAGTGAATTAGAGCATATTTCATAGTTGAAATCAACCATATGCTGATTCCTAATAAGTTCAACATAAAAATAAATTATAAAATATGTAAAAAAATATAAACCCCAAAAAGCTTATTAAAACAGGAACAAGAATGGTTTGTCTCATTTCTCCTCTTTTTATATTTCTGACTGGCAATTTAAACATTTCCTCATTTGCTAGAACTAAATGCTACAGCATCTTGAATTTCTTTTTTCTTACTTTCTCCTGGGATAGGAATCATTTTCTTTCATTGCTTGACTTGCTTATCAAAGAGTGTTCACTGTGGCTGTTTAAAACCTTGCTTCTTCAGTCTGTCTCGTCAGTATTCTCCCCCTGTACTTGGCACTGGTTAGGCAACACCTCAAATATTGCATTCAGTTTTGGGCCCCTCACTACTAGAAGGACAGAAGGACATTGAGGTGCTAGAGTGTGTCCACAGATGGAAAATGGTGAAGGGTTTGGAGCACAAGTTTTATGCGGAGATGCTGAAGGAACTGGGGAAAAAAAATTAGTCTCAGAGGAAACCTTACCAGTCTCTACAACTACCTGACAAGAGGATCTAGCAAGGGGGGAGTCTGTCTGTCTGTCTCTTCTACCAAGTAATAAATAATAGACAAAAGGAAATAGACTGAAGTTGCACCAGGAGAAGCTTAAATTGAGTGTTAGCAAAAATTTCTTCACCAAAATAGTTGTCAAGCATTGGAACAGGAAGCCCAGGGAAAAGGTAGAATCACCATCCCAGGAGGTATTTAAAAGATACATATATGTGGCATTTCAGATTTAGTGGTGGACATATATTAACAGTTTGACTCAGTGATCTTAGAAGTCTTTTCTATCCTAAGCAATTCTGTGATTCTACTGTCAGGACAGGAGAAATGGCTTTGACAGCAATCTTAGCAAGCAAAAGAGGAAAGACTCTTACCTGGATCATATGGAGGTTTACCACAGGGTTCCAGTCCTACAGTTTTTGTAATGTGCTGCTGATCTGGAACAGGTTCCCTTTTGTTCCAACAATTGCTTCATCTGAAAATCTGGACAAAACTCCACAGTTACAGTCACAAAAAACACCAGACACCCAAACCCCAACCTCCCTTGCCTCCCACCACTACCACAAAGGGACAAACTTTACAGCTTGCAGAGAACCAAAATCATGAGCTCAACAAAAATCCAGGAATGCCGCAAAATAATGTCCAGTTTCAACAATCAGTTACAACACCATGCCATGGACAATGTTTTCCAGCTCAGGCTTCCAGGGTTCTAAGAATCCAGGAACTGAAAACTCACCTATAATGATGAAGACTTTGAGAGAAATTTTCTGGATGACAACTTTTGAAGTACGTTGGATGACATTAAGGAGGATTCACATTACTAGAAAGGTATGAAGTATGTTCCCAAAAATCACTGCATTTCTTTTTAGCACAAAGTTTGTCTCTTTACAGATGGGGAAATTAAAGTTGTGCACAGTAAAAGGATAAAATATTTTGAGCTTGAATTTCGGCATAGAGTTTGTGTGGGAAAAAATAATATTGCACAAATCATGTATAAAAATACTATTCAAGGGAATGTGCCCCATGAAAGGGCTGGTTAATATTAATAATAAGACATTTAGGCTATGATGAAGTTAAGACAGCAGAGATCACTGTTTCTATAACTTAAAAGAGGGTAGTAGGGTAGCACCGATGATGAACAAGCTTAGTTAGAATGTGATTCAACACTTCCCAGTGATTCCAGGTGCTCTGGCATTGTGATGTACAGTATAAGGGCTATATGTGTACTAAACTCTTGTGTGGTCTTCAGTCCTTCAAACTGGGAACCAGGTAGAGGACAAGACAGGGCCAAGATGGTCTAAGACAGTCTCTTCTAATTGATTCGGGGGGCCTGAAGAAACATAGCAGAGCATCAGCTCTCAGTGAGAAGCTGCAGCCTTATCAAAATATTGTGTGATAATGAGTAAAACCAAGGGTACAGCAAGTCAGGCCATTCAAGGTGCAGGATATACCTATATAATCTTGCACCTCATGTCTTTCCTACAACCAGTGCAGAAACACTTTCCTTGCCCAACTGTGTGAATTAAATTCTATCTACTTGTATTTAAGTTATATGAATATTCTGAAGCCACTATTGCTTCTGAGTTACCTCACACTCCAATTGGGTCAAATGAGAGTAGACAACCAGGGCTAGACTGACTTATTACTCAGATTTGAGGAATACCTGCACTAAAGTGACAGAAAACATGCTTAACCCTAATGACTGTTACTCTCCTCACTCTCATCAATCACGTGAGGAGGAATGAAATCCAAATGCTAATTTTCAGAATGAGAGTAATGCTTTTTTACAATATTCAGAGTTGAATTCTTTTCTATTTGTCTCTTTGACAAATCAGTGCAAAAAGTAGCTGTTTGGAAGCGAAAGGGAGAAACAGCAGTCAAAAATAATAGATGGAAAGGGTTTGTCTTCAAATTTGAATGGAAAAGCAAATTTCATGGCTAAATTTCCTATATCTATTTATATATAAGTCAAAAATAATGAAAAGTGAATATATCTTCAACTATATTTTCTTTAGCAATGCTACTCTTGAAAACCCTAACAGAAAAAAGCCTTCTTGTTTTGACCACACTAACTCAGCCACAGTTTCCTCCAACAGATTTATTTTATCCTTCCACACCCACCCATTTTCACAACCCAGAGCTTAAACTTCGAAACCTTTATTCACATTGAATGGCCTTAAGTAATCATACTTATTGACCCAGGTGAGCCTTCAAGAAGGAAGCTCTGTGACAGCTAAGGTTTCTAAAACTACCCATGCATGAAAAATTCTTGTGTGAAACCAAATCATTAGGCCGTATCTCATCACGAACCAACAAAACTGTCAATTCATTTCTGTTTTCACAGATGTTTTCCAGTTGTGTCATACTTTATTTCCCTTTATTTCAGAGCTCCATCTCAAAATGAAGTCCGTACATACAAAGCAAGGTGTCACTTCTTTTCAGTATCGATGTTGAAGATGCTAAAGACTATGTCTAAAAAGCACAGAATTAAGGAAAACATATTATTTTAAATTGTTGGTCAAAATTTAAAAAAATAAAGGTCTGAAACATAAGAAAGGGTCATATTCACTACCTAGAAAGAACTCTTGGCATTTCAAATACAAGAAAGCAACTGTCTATTTATCTTTAGAAGGTGCACTGTAAGCTTCTTCTTGGACTGAAAGAGCTGGGAAAGTTAGGTGTTAGTAATATATTTTTACATGTTTCAATATCAAGTTCATTTTGCTCATGTGGGCTATATATATACCTGGAGCTAAGGCTGAACTGCAGTTACCCCAAGCCTACAGCCACAAGCATTCTCTGTCTTAATCCCAGGATTTATGCCCAAACACACATGTATCTTAACATTGAAATTTCTACTGGCCTACTAAAAAAGTGCACTTCTACCACTCAATATTTGTAAGGGATATCTTGAAATTACTGATGGAGTGCCCAGTATTAGCAGAGAAATTCATCCAAATTCATCCAAAGTCTTTCACTTTCACTTTTCCAAACCATTATTAGAAAGAAAATTCATCATTCATTTTTGCTGGTAAAAAGAATTTTAAACATTTGGCCAAATTTATGCAAAACTTCATTCCTTGTACTAAAGTATTTTTGGGAGTGTTTCATGTTTCCACTTCTAAAGCTTCTTCATTCCATGTACACCTAATCAATTTCTCAAGATATTTAGATTATTTGTTCAGATAGGGAAATTTCAGAAGTGTTAAGTTTGCATCTATGCTTTTAAAAGTGTCCTACAATTTTAGTTCTGCATTACCTTTTTTTTCTCTAGGCTGATCAGGTCAAAATCAAAGTAAAGACAGTTTTCAACTGGTACAGCTGGTACAAAATTGATTGTTAGAAGTGATAGATGCTTGACCTCAGTGTTGCACTTTTGGCCTATACAACTGTATGAGTCAAGGGCAATAACCCAGGCTGGTGAAAAACTCTGTTGTCACATAAAAGCAAAAAGCTGAAGAGTCACGGTATTACAGCACCATGATATTCACAAGTCTGTACTGATAGTCTGAAGCAAAATTTTCAGCTGCATGATTCAACATAAATAATTCTTTGGCAGAATATTCTGGCTGAATTTGTTTGGTGCTCATGCATGTCAGCCAAGAGAAAGAAAACACTGCAACCAGTGGGTGAAATAGTAGCTCAGAACAAATACTTATGCAGTCTCAAAAATGGTACATAAAATCTCTCATACAACAGGTAAATCCTTGAAATTTTACTGGGTTGTAAGACTGAAAGAAGATCAGACAAATGAATGCATATGGTTCAACAGCTACTTCCTTTGATCTGCCAAAATCTTTCCTGTTACCATGCTAAAGGAAACTAGTATTTGTAATTTTAATGAATGAGGAAACTAAAATTGTTGCATTATCAGAATTAAAACTACAAAATGTTAAGCTTGTTTTAGACATATTTATAGATTTTATAGGTATTTCTGAATAGGTCTGTTTCTGAAGAGGTCAAACTTTAATGACACCTCCAAAAGAAAACACTCCAGATTGTCTAAGTATTGTTGGGAAGGCTAAAGTTGGAAAGCAACACTGATGTCACAAGTCTCATTCAGAGAAGAGGACAAAGAAAATCCATAGCACTATTATAATGGGAGAGAAAGAAATCACAGACTGTGACAGAAAATCACTGTGAAATTTGTCTTAGCTTTGTGTTGTGTAACTTCTGCTCCACTCCTCACATCTTATCAATATGACAGTGTTCTGCTTTACATTCTTCATTTATCATCTTTATTAATAAATTCTGTTCTAAAGTGATCATTAACTAGCGATCAGTCATGTTTTCATGACATCTTGAATTAATCTCTTGCTAATTTATTCTTCCTTGCAATTGCCATGACTTAGAAAAAGCTTGCTTACTTGCTTCTTATGAGTATTTTCTTTAAAATTAGAAATTTGTCTCAGCGCAAGTGTGAAAGTGTGAAATGCAATATGACAATATGTCCCGTCCTACCTTAAATAACCGTGAGAGGCAGCTAATTTGGTTTCTTAATTTAAAATGATTTATAAATGTGGATGTCCTTCATCTGGAAACTGTCACAACTGTGCAGATTAGGCTGGCAATGCTGCATTATCAGGGGCACCAATTTTTCAGCTAAGGCAAAAACAAACTGCAGATTTAGACTTAATTAGGAGCTAGCTAAAAATTCAATGAGGAAATTAAAAACATAGAATTTTTTCAGTTATTTCTCTTGACTTTAAGAATTATTTATGAAAAATAGAAAACAAAAGACTTTATAAAGTGTATAGAAAGTTTTCTTTCTGAAATTCAACTTATTCCTTCCAGGTACCTTATTTCTGCTTTCAGGGATCCTTTGATATACTCTAATACAAAAGAAACTAAAACTTTGTTTTAAAAGCAGAACAAAGAGGATAAAATAACCAATAATCTGAATAAAATAATTCAGATTAATCTTCTCCTGTCAGAACTTTTGAGATTCCCTGACTCCAGAGGACAAATTATGTCCCAGAAAAATATGCATTTTAAAGGGACAGTGACAGCAAGTAGAAACACCAATAAAAAACAGCTTTGCAGTCCTAAATAATTATGTTAGAGAATGAAATAATTCATTTCTTCCTCATACTGGCCTGTTGGAAGGCAAAATCTTTAGGTCTTCTTCCAAGAGTAAATTGTCATTTACAGAGCAAAACTTGATACTTGAACTGTATATTAGAAAGCGTATCCCCCCCCAAAAAAGATTGAGTTTTTCAGCATTCCATGGAGAGTCGTTACACAGATAAGTTCATGGGTTTATGGGACAGCAGGAAAAAAAAGTCAAAAACCTATATATACCAAAGACTTATCCTAAGCAAACATAAACCACCCATTTCTCTGCCCAGCATGGAACAGTCATAAAGCAAATGCAAAAAAACCCAATGATAGCTGCTGTTTTATAATGGAATGTTGGGCACCATCTGTCATTTGGATAAAACCAGTGATTTTTCACCTCTCCTGTCAGCCTGATTTGCTTCACCTTCTCCCTGTTTGCTGGATTAGCTGTTCCACAAGAACATTAATCTTACCCACAGTAAAATAATACATCATTTTGAATTTAGGGATGAAAAGTGCATTTAATATTATTGTACCGTTTATAATGATTTCTATGTTGAAGTGTTTCAAATTTTGAGTTAATATGAAGTTGATATCTATCTTCAGGAAACAGAAAGTATCCATATCTTCAGGAAAAATAAATTTAATATCTATCTCAGGAAAAAGAAAGTGTCTATATTGTTCAAAGTTATTTTCTGAAGAAGTCCTTCTGAAGTGATTGAAGTGTATGCAGCCCTTTATTAAGCTTTGCCTCAGCATCTGATGGCCTTGAAACTCTTGCACCAACCATTCTTACATGCAGAATTCGAGCAACATTTCCTTATTCACTCTTTCTTAGGTGTGGTTTCTTAACCTCTATAGTCTTCTCCTTGGCTAAAAAGGGCTTTGAAATAGGAACAACTGTACTCCTTCACTCCCTGGCCTACCACACATAAACTCATACAAGAAAATCTTCAAATCTAAGAGTCCTAGGAACAACACCCTTCTCTGTAATATTCTCCCATGTATTTCTTGATTTGCAAAATTCCTTGTCTGCTGTCAATGACACAGTAGACACAAAGACACAATTTCAAACTCGAGCTTGCCCTTGGCTTTTCTCTGCATCTTTGTCAGTTTTGTCTGTGAGCAGATTCCTAGGAAGAGCAGGTTGGGATTGACATTTTAATACCTGCCTTTCATCATAAAATTTCACTGGGGACCCACAAGAGATTATTACTATTATTTATTATTGTTATTATTAATTATTATGTTAATTATTAATTATTACTATTAGGAACTAATAAAGGCCAGAACATAAGTCTCTAGCTTCAGCTGGGGAAACTGCAAAAATGCAAATTGCATTCTGATATAATTGCCAATAAGAAATTAACTTTCCTGTAGCACTGTCTAGAAATAGTGTAAGACTTCCTCCTGTCAAATCATTAAACTGAAGTGCAAAAACTCACACAGATAGTGGAGAACTTCTTTCCTAAGGCAAATGGCACACATTAACATCAATGAGGTTTTGCACAGCTAAGGCAACAGAGAGGACCCTGCAGGCTATCCTAGTAAATGTTTAATACCTGTAGTGTAGATGATGCATCCATTCTTTAGGGGTCTGTGGCCTCCACAATTTTTATAATTTTATCCATCTAATTCAGATAATGTCCAACCCTAGATCTGGTAAACATTCATAAAAATGAATATGGAGGGATGAATTATAACCTCCAGGATTTTCAGGATCCAAAGTGGAT